ATTTATTCCTAGTCAGGGCCCTGATGGGGTTACTTCTCCAAGAATGATTCAAGTCCAAGCCACGGATCACTAAATTGACCTCTCTTTTTATGATAAGACTTAACTTTCTACACACTTTAAAAAACACCCATGCCTTTGCCTTCTTCATAGGTTTTAGTATTTTTGCATGAATTGACATGCCTGCCCTTTTGAGGTTCCATTTATCGGTGTTGTGGGATCCATAGTATTTAATTGCCTCTCCGAAGGCTATTAAGCTCTTCTTGTACTTGAGGAATTTGACCGAGCACTGGAGCACTGACCCTTCACCTGCGTGGCCACTGGTGGATCCATTGTTCCCGTGCTTGGCACACTTCCTGCCGATACACCTCCGCTCTCCTTCCTCCTGGTGCGCTTTCAGAACTGCTGGGCTCTCTTTCCTGCTTGCAAAAACAGAGAAGTAACAGTTCAGGTCACTGTATAACCTGCCACGGATATAAAAGAAGAGGAAATAGTCATATACATTCACCGCCCCTCACTTATTAAAATCAGTGACAAACTATACGTATTTTATTTCTCTTCATCCTATTTCACTATTATTATGAACTCACGGCTCTTTCGTAGAATCAACTTCTTCCAAATAACAACGTCAATATTTTTTCACCTTCCAACTGTCGCGAGCGGTCTGGCAGGATTCCCTCAGTGGACGCCTTTGTCTTTCCAGCATCGTTGCTGCCAGCCATGGTAAACCTTGATCTTTGACAACAACACTGTATTCAGTTCTGTCCTGAATTCTCCTGATCCAAGACACAAATAGCCATTCTCCAAGAAGGCAGATTTCTTCCAGGAGGAATCAGAGTCAGGGAGTCAACTCTGGTCATTGGTATTGCCCATGAAAATTGGTGGTAGAAAGAGGTACTACTGAATCCTACTTGCCTCACTTAGGAGAGACAGAACCGGAAACAGGATTTTAAACGTACGAGCTCACCTTACTTTTCCAACTCAATATATTTGTTTCTTAGAGTGTGAGGTATCGTCAGCCACTAATATCTTCTACTATGTTGACAGTTACTTTATTAAAGAAGCTGGTTAGGGGCGCCCCGGCTGGCTCAGCAGGGGGAGCGTGTGACTCTTGATCTTGGGGCTGTGAGTTCGAGCCCCAATGTTGGCTGCAGAGATTACTTTAAAAAAATAAATTAATTTTTTTTTCAAAAGCATGGTTAAAGGAAGTGAACACAAAATGGAAAAATCAGCAGGCAAATCGAAACTTGGGTTTGAAGACTTGAGACTCAGCGCCAAGGGGAATCACAGGCACCAAGTCAAGGCTGTAGTCAGTATTGAAGTCCAGAAAATACCAACAGATGTTTCACAGTTAAACAATGCCTGACCACGGCCTATGCAGCAAAGGGGAGTATGCCAGTAGCTGAGCCGGCTGTGTGCAAGTTCAAAGGTCTTGGAAGAATTTCTATACCCAGCAAGGCAGGGATGGAGCAGTTCTAGACAGGGGGCCAAGCAAGATGAGAAGTCGAAGTGAAAGGTTAAGAGAAGTCTGAATGGAGGAGGACAGGACGGGGCAGGGTGAAAAGGCACGTCAGGGCTCTAAATCTGTGCAGGCTGGGCACCAGCGAGGAATTTCATTGTGATCACAATTATGCAATAAAATCTACAAATCCAGGGAATTTGTTTTATTAAAAAGATGGGTTTTTTTTTATTTTTTTTAACGTTTATTTATTTTTGAGACAGAGAGAGACAGAGCATGAACGGGGGAGGGTCAGAGAGAGGGAGACACAGAATCTGAAACAGGCTCCAGGCTCTGAGCGGTCAGCACAGAGCCCGACGCGGGGCTCGAACTCACGGACCGCGAGATCATGACCTGAGCCGAAGTCGGACGCTTAACCGACTGAGCCACCCAGGTGCCCCTAAAAAGATGTTTTTAATGTTCATTTATATTTGAGAGAGACAGAGCACGAGTGGGGGAGGGGCAGAGAGACAGGGAGACCCAGAATCCGAAGCAGGCTCCAGGCTCCGAGCTGTGAGCACAGAGCCCGACGCGGGGCTTGAACTCACAGACCACGAGACCATGACCTGAGCCTCAGTCAGATCCTTAACCGACTGAGCCACCAAGGCACCTGAATCCAGGGAATTTTAAAATAAACTTTAATCTGTTTCTTCAAAGAGAATACATTTTCATTTAGGAATCTTCAAAATTGCCTACTACAGAATAGACCACAAAAGTCACAGTAAAATCACAAAGATCACAGCAACAGTCATCATTTTGGAGCTTCATACGGCACTTACTCATTGTTTGTGGAATTAAAACTTTATTCACCATCTTCGCGCTTGATATGTTTGCATAATATAACAGTTTAATCAGAGTGGTGAAAATGGCATTTCATTTTTGTGTATTTTTTTTTTTTTTTTTTTTTTTTTTTTTTTTTTTTTTTTTTTTTTGCCGCAGAAGCATAATTTTTGTGGAGGTATAATTGACATATAACATAATGTGTTTCCAACGTGCAGCTTGGTGATTTGGTATTCGTATAGACTGTGAAATGGTGACACGGTTAAGTCTAGTTAGCAGACATTTCATGCACATCTTCCCTGTATTAACTGAGGCTGAATATACTTACGGGTAATTTAGTGCCTTTTTTGAGACGGGAGGGGAAGGAGATGTTTTAATGTGCCCGAATTAGGCGTGAGAGGAAAGGGAAAGATTAAAATGAGGCAGAATCCAGAAATTAATCTCACAGCCTTAGTCAGCGTCTTTTAATGAAATCTACTCTAATTATTATGGATAAGACATGATAGACTATTGACAGCCTGATCATTTGCTTAGGAAGTTTTCAGTGAAGTATCACAATACTGTCACTGATGAGTGAGCTAGGAATTTTCATGCTCTGGTGATCAGAGGGTAAACACTGATGGGGCAAAGCCTTTTGAGAAAGTGACTTGGAAATGTCAGAGCAGAGCCTATATATGTGTGTGTGTGTGTATATATATGTATATATATATATATTTACACACACACATATATAATTTTAATACTTAATAATTTTCCATATCATAAAACATGAATAAAAATCATTATACACATATTTGTAAAACTACTATTTAGGTGGTCTGGGTGTTTTCTGTTGCTACACATACAAGGCAGATAATGCCTAGATTTCAATTGTTCTTTTAGTTTATCAATTCAAACTTAGAAACAAAGGTAGGCACCAGGTTAAAGTTTCATTAAATAGTTTAAGAACAAAATTAATCACAGGAGGCTGTACAGCTCAGTCGGTTAAGTGTCTGCCTTCAGCTCAGGTCATGATCTCACGGTATGTGAGTTCGAGCCCCGCATCGGGCTCTCTGCTGTCAGAGCAGAGGCCGCCTCATATCCTCTGTTTCCCTCTCTCTGCCCCTCCCCTGAGCATGCGTGTGTGTGCTCTCTCTCTCTCTTGCTGTCTCTCAAATAAGTAAATAAACATTTTAAAAAGAACAAAATTAACCAAAGATTAATCATTCTGAGACCGTGATAGAATAATACAAATGCATTGGGGTTGTCAAATTCAACTCAAAATGGATTAAAGACTTAAATGTAATGGGGCGCCTGGGTGGCGCAGTCGGTTAAGCGTCCGACTTCAGCCAGGTCACGATCTCGCGGTCCGTGAGTTCGAGCCCCGCGTCGGGCTCTGGGCTGATGGCTCAGAGCCTGGAGCCTGTTTCCAATTCTGTGTCTCCCTCTCTCTCTGCCCCTCCCCCGTTCATGCTCTGTCTCTCTCTGTCCCAAAAATAAATAAAAAACGTTTGGGAAAAAAAAAAAAAAAAAAATTAAAAAAAAAAAAAAGACTTAAATGTAAGACCGTAACTTTAAAACTCTGGGGTAAAACATAGGAGAAAATCTTAATGACATTGACCATGATATCTTCAATAAGACACCAAAAGTACAGGCAATAAGACCAAAAATAAACAAGTGGGGCCACATCAAACCAAAAAGCTTGTGCACAGCAAAGGAAACCATCCACAGAGTGAAAAGGATTCTTTGGATTGGAAGAAAATGTTTGCAAACCCTGTATTTGATAAGAAGTTCATCTCCAAAATATATAAGGAATTCCTACAACTCGTTAGCAAGGAAAACTAATGACCAGCTCAAAAGTGGGCAAGGACTCGAGTAGACATTCCTCCAGAGAAGATCTACAAATGACCAAGAGGTTTATGAACAGATGTTTATGAACATCACTCATCACTCAGGGAAATGCAGACCAAAACCACACTATCACCTCATACCTGTCAGGATGGCTATTGACAAACAATAGTGCATAACAAGTGTTGGAGAAGATGCTGAGAAACTGGAGTTGTCACGAATTGGAGTGTAAATAGTACGGCCATTTTGGAAAACGCTTGGTGGTTTCTCAGAACATTAAACACAGGTTTGTTCTATGACTCAGTAATTCCACGCCTACGTACATACCCAAGAGAATTGTAAACGTATGTCCACACAAAAACTTGTGCAGGAATGTTTACAGAAGCATTATTCATGGTAGGCGAGAAGTGGGAAAAGCCAAATGTTTGTCAACTGAAGAAGGGATAACCCACATGTGGTACACCCATACAAAGGGATGTGATTTAGCCACAACAAGGAAGGAAACACCAAAACACGATACAACATGGATTGGCCTCGAAAACAATGGGCTAAGTGAAAGAAAGCAGTCACGAAAGGCCACGTGGTGTATGTACATAAGATTTCCAGGATAGGCAAATCTGTCGAGGCAGAAAGTGTTTGCCGGCAGTTGAAAGGAGCGAGGAATGGGGTGTTGTTTCTAGGAGGATGGTGTTTAGTGGAGGACAATGAAAATGCTCTGAAATTGTGTACTGGTAACGACTCCATGAGTAGACTAAAACCTGCTGAGGCGGATGAATTCGAGGGGGTGATTTTATGGTATGTGACTTCTATCTCATTAAAGCTGTTAAAAAATAACAATTACGCTACTGTCTTCCCTCTGCAGATTTCTTTGAATAAAAAGCCAGAAGAGTGGAAAGGGATGAGCTCAGTGAAACTCTGCTCTGTAAAGCTGAACGATGGGTTCTTCATGCCCATGCTGGGATTTGGCACCTCTGCTCCTAATAAGGTAGTCACTGTGGCCTCGGAGACAGAGGGGTGGCGGACGTGGGTCCTTATCAGAACCAGAACTGGGGAAATGCAGGCAGGCCTCATTTTATTTGTTCGTAAGACGCTTCTCTCCAGTTAGGTTATTTAGTGCATGAAGTCAGTGATTTTCAAATTTTCATCAGCATGAAAACACTGAGGTTCTTGTTAAAAATGCAGATTTGGAGGCCGTACCTACAAAGGCTCCGAATGAGTAGATCTGGGATAGGGCTCAAAAATCCACATTTCTAATGAGCTACCGAGTGACTCTGATGCTGCTTGTTTGACAGTCACACGTGGCATACTGCTATATCAAGCGGCAGGGGAGCATGCCATCTGTCAGCCACGCAGGGGTGGGTGAGGCCGTTTCTGGTACTCTCACCGGCTGTCCAGCTGTAGCCATTCACCATCTGTTGCAGTGAATGAAACCCAGGTGTCATGATCACCACATGTCGGAGACTCGATGGCAAGCTTGCTTGTGATGAAGTTTCTCTGTAACATCTGCTGTCCACCAACACGCGTAGACTATCTAGAGAAATCTCGGCCGCTGAATGTTCTGGAGAGAGTCAAGATTAAAGTTAGAGAGAGTGCTGGTGGTCTGGAGGGGAAATAGTCTGGTAGAGGCCAAGTTGTTAATACTATTCCCTGGGGGCACTTGGAAATTCTCTGTTTGGAACCCTGAACTCCATGCGTGTTTCTCATTTGAACATTTCCAACTTACAAGAGCACATCTTCAGTGGTTCCTAGTGGAGGAGCTTATAATTGTTTAAGGAAAGTTGTAGGATCGACTCCCCAACACGAGAGCCACATGGTGGGTAATGCTGAGGACTTCAGCAAGGGCACTGTCACCAAGGGTTGCTTTTACTTGGACTCTTGGCTCTTAAATCCGGGGTACCAATTAACTAGTCGGGAATTACAGATTAAAAAATATACCCAGGAGACATTTTAAGTGAGGTAGAAGCGGGCGATGGTGAGGGGAAATTATGGAGAAGGTCTAAAGTCCAGCCTGGTGGGCCAGCAGAACAGTAGGCAGCTAAAAATAAAATAACCAAGTTGTGAAAGGGCAAGAGTCACGTGCGGACCAACTTAGCAACCACCACAGCAAAACCAATTATGAGACATTTTGCATAAAAAAAATAGTTGATTTTCTTTTACATTTCTGTTCCTCCTCAAATATTGCTTGAAGTGTTCCTCCAAGTTTACATCGGTAAATCATTAATTTATGCTGTGTAAAGTCACACCTTCACTGCATTGACAGATAGCTCTGAGCATTAGACTTCTGGATTGCAACCGGTGTAACGGTCTCTCACAGAGTGAGTTAACTTGGGACCGTCAACCGATAGATTGTGTAAATCCACACATGATGTAAATCCAGGGGCGGGAGGGTTAAACCCAGTGACGAGCTAGGCCAGCTCATGGGCTCACAAGATCTGATGGTGAGCACCTTTTCCTAATATTCATGGCTTGAAGTCAGCCATGGTGGGAGTATTTACACCATAGATCGTTAAACATCTACCACTGGGTATAAGTCCACATTCAGCTCTGTCACCTCTAGCTCTTAGCCCTTAGAAAAACAATAGGTTCTGCTAAATAGCTCCGCTGGTGGGATTGGCCATCTGTTCCTGAATCAAGTAGGTCTTTGTCTTTCTGTGGTCTTCTAGGTTGCTAAGAGTGAGGTGGAAGAGGCTGTCGTGAGAGCAATCGATGTAGGCTACCGCCATTTTGACTCCGCTTACTTGTATCTAAATGAAGAAGAGATTGGGAGGGCCATCCGGAAGAAGATCGCTGATGGCTCTGTGAAGAGAGAGGACATATTCTACACTTCAAAGGTTCTGTGTATAGTTCCCTACGTATCTGTGAAAAGCTCACTCTTAGCTGAAGAGTTTCTCGGTGAAGTTCTCCTCTTATTGGTTAAATTTTCATTCCCACAGACCTTGCACTGTAAGAAGGTATATGCTGAAGGTGGGGTACATGCTGGCAAGGGATGTGGGTTCCAACTTCTTCGAGGCTTAGGCCTCATATCTCAACCTATGGCATGGTCAATAGACATCCCATGTCTCTTTCCTATGAAGTGGGAAGATAATACCGCAGAACTGCTATGAGGATGAAATTAATGTTTGTAAACGTACTTAGATTTTTTTTTTAACTTTGGAGCCATTTTCTCCTACTATTTTTCATTTCTACTGATAGTATAGCTGAAACAAATAAAAGAACTTACGGATTTAAGTCAGACTGGAAAGGAATCCAAGAAGAATTTTCTCCAGTGGTGTTCATGGAGCTGACTACGACTAACTAGAACCAGATATTTAGATATGAGGCAAAGTGACCCATGAAGAGAGAGTTGAGGTCCATACAAGTGAGTTCTAGGCAGGAAGGGAATTTCTTCCTTCTTGCTCCACGGTATGAAGCTCTCTGAATGACTGTGTTAGATGTGGTATCACTATTGCTCTCTTGTCTGTTTATTTCCCTTCCGTAGGGAGGGAGCCTTAGCAATTTTGATGGATTTTCCTTAGATTTTTACTTCCTAAAATAAGCTGACTAAAGTACCCTCCCCCCAAAATTCCTATAGGTCCTACTTTTCTTTGGAACACTTAATACATTTAAAATGCAATTTCCTGAATCACAACTGCTTGAGGTTCTTGTTAAAAATGGAATTTCCCAGGGGCGCCTGGGTGGCTCAGTCAGTTGAGCATCCAGCTCTTGGTTTCGGCTCAGGTCATGAGCTCATGGTAGATGAGTTCGAGTCCCATGTCGGGCTCTGCACTGACAGTGTGGAGCCTGCTTGAGATTCTGTCTCTCCCCCTCTCTACCCCTCCCCTGCTTGTGTGCACTCTCTCTCTCTCTCAAAACAAATAAACTCGGGAAAAAAAATGCAATTTCCCAGCCAAAATCTCCAGATATTGTGATGTAATATGTTGGAGGTAGAACCCAGGAATGTGTTTCATAATTCCTTTACATTCTAAAGTTTGAGACCCCCTGTGTTGGGCCATATTTTTCCTCTCCTACATCGTTGTCTTAATTCAGTATGAAACAGAAGCTATGAGGAAAAAGAATTTAGGAGCTAAGCAGGATGGTTCGTCACTTCCCAATGACCACAAGTGTCACTTCCCAACGACTGCAAGTGGGTTTGTAGTTGTTGCTCATTTTCCCTTTCATTAATTTCTTCTAGAGATTCTTTTTTTTTTTAAGCTGTATAAAATAGTTTTTATATGGTTCCCCCTTAGGCTAAAACCAGGCAGCAAGCCCCTGGTTACATAGACCATATTAAAATGAAACAACTATATTTTATTGAAGAGGAGTTAAAATTGAGCATTTTTGTTATTGAAGCGTAGTTGACATACAAGGTTCTGTTAGTTCCAGACGCACAACATGGTGGTGTGACGAGTCTGTACATTACACAGCGCTCGCCATGATAAGTGTGGTCACCATACAGCGTCATTGACAACATCTCTCATTTGTCATGACTTCCTTATTTTATGACTAGAAATTTGTACTTCTTGATCCCCTTCACTTAGTTCACCCCTCCCCTTACGCTCCTCCCTTCTGGGAACAACCAGTTTCTCCTCTATATTTATGAGTCTGTTTCTGTTTTTTGTTTGTTTGTTCTTTCATTTGCTTGGTTTTTCAGATTTCACATATAAATGAAGTCGTCTGGCATTTTTCTTTCTCTGTCTGATTCATTTCACTTAGCGTAATACACTCTAGTCACAAATGGCAAGATTCCATTCTTTTTTATGGCTGAGTAATATTCCACTCTTTATATGTACAAACGTATATATCATACCTTTTTTATCCATTCATCTACCTATAGATATTTGTATTATTTCTGTATCTTGGTTATTATAAATAATGCTGCAATAAATATAAGGGTGCATATGTCTTTTTGAATTAGTGTTTTCATATTCTTTGAGTAAATTCCCAAAAGTGGAATTATAGTTGTGGATCATATGGTATTTCTGCTTTTAATTTTTTGAGGAACCTACCTCCGTACTGGTTTCCACAGTGGCTGCACCAGTTTACATTCCCATCAACAATGCCCCAGGGTTCCCTTTCCTCCACATCCTTGTGAACACTTGTCATTCTAGTCTTTCTGATACTAGCCATTCTGACAGGTGTGAGGTGATACCTCATTGTGGTTTTGATTTGCATTTTCCTGATGATGAGTGATGCTGAGCATCTTTTCATGTGTCTGTTAGCCATCTGTACATCTTATTTGGTAAAATGTCCATTCATGTTCTCTGCCATTTTTAATCAGATTATTTTGTGCTTTCGGTGTTGAGTTGAATAAGTTCTTCATATAGTTTTTGATAGAAACTCCTTGTCAGATTTATCACTTGAAAATACCTTCTCCCCTTTGTGTAGGTTGCTTTTTTGTTTTGTTGATGGTTTTCTTTGCTGTGAAAAAGCTTTTTATTTTGATGCAGCCCCAATAGTTTATCTTTGCTTTTGTTTCTCTTGCCTCAGGAGACCTATCCACAAATATATTGTGAAGGCCAATGTCCAAGAGGTCACTGCCTGTGTCTTCTTTTAGGAGTTTTATGGTTGCAGGTCTCACATTTAGGTCTTTAACCATTGTGAGTTTATTTTTCTGTGTGTATGATGAAAGACAGTGGTCCAGTTTCATTCTTCTAATGTTGCTGTCCAGTTTTCCCAACATCATTCGTCTTTTTCCCATTGCATATTCTTGCCTCCTTTGTTGTAGATTGATTGACCATATACGCATGGATTTGTTTCTGAGCTCTCTATTCTGTTCTGTTGACCTGTGCATCTGTTTTTGTGCCAGTGCTGATCGCTTTGATTACCACAGCTTTGGAGTATACCTTGAAGTCTGGGATTATGGTGCCTCCAGTTTTGTTTTTCTTTCTCAAGGTCGCTTTGGCTATTCAGGGTCTTCTCTGGTTCCATACACATTTTAGGATTGTTTGTTCTAGGTATGCAAAAATATATGCTATTTGTATTTTGATAAGGGCCGCGTTCAATCTGTGGACTGCTTTGAGTAGTAGGGACATTTTAACAATATTTGCTCTTCCAGTCCACGAGCATGGGGTAGCTTTCCATTTGTTTGTGCCATCTTTAATTTCTTTCATCAATGTCTTCCAATGTTCAGAACACAAGTCTTTTACCTCCATGGTTACATTTATTCCTAGGGATTCTATTGTTTTTGGTGCAATCGTAAATGGGACTGTTTTCTTAATTTCTTTTCCCACTACTTCCTTATTAGTGTATAGAAATGCAACAGATTTCTGTATATTAATCTTGTATCCTGCCACCATACAGAATTCTGAATTTATTAGTTCTGATAGTTTTTTGGTGGAGTCTTTATATACTGTCTGTCATCTGTAAATAGTGACAGTTGTGCACTTTATTAATTTCTCCTAAAGATTCTGAAAGAAAGAATCTCATACCTTCCCTTTCAACCGTTGCAGGTGTGGGGAACCTTCTTACGTCCAGAATTGGTTCGAACCAGCTTGGAAATATCGCTGAGGAAACTTCAGTTGAGCTATGTGGATCTTTATCTTATTCATATCCCAATACCTTTGAAGGTTAGCGAAAGTTCTTTTACTTTAATCATCAACGTAAAAATTAAGAGCTGAATACAAGAGAGGATATAGTTTGTAAAAATGAGGAAAAAACATACATAATACTTTAAGCTTCCCCGCCCCCCTTTTTTTCTGCCGCAAAAGTCCCATCTCAGCCCCAGAGTGTAAGAGTTCACTGGCTTTCAATATCTTTGCTTCGATCTCGCAAATGCATTGTCTGTATTTTCAAGACCCCACAGTCCTGGGGGCATCTGGGTGGCTCAGTCGGTTAAGCGTCTGAGCGACTTCGGCTCAGGTCATGATCTCACGGTTCGGGGTTCAAGCCCTGCGTCTGACTCTGTGCTGACAGCTCAGTGCCTGGAGCCTGTTTCAGATTCTGTGTCTCCCTCTCTCTCTGCCCCTCCCCCACTCGCGCTCTGTTTCCCTCTGTCTCAAAAATAAACATTAAAAAAAAATTTTTTTTAATAAAAAAAAAAAAAAAAAGACCCCATGGTCCTGAATGTCCACCTCATACCCACTCGTGTCTGGGGAGTGTCCCGATATGGAGACCAGCTGAGGTATAGGAAATTTAATGATGAAACTCAACCCTCCAGATGCTCACGAGTCGCTCTACTGTGTGACCACCTCCAGGTGTAAAGCAGGGGTAAGAGCAGCTTATCTCATGAGAATCCAAGGCCAAGGTGCCTGTTGAGCCGTGGCATCACTGTAGCCTCTCTCTAGGATGGGGTCTTGGGTGTCCCAAGTTGTCTGTGACACGATGTTTAGCAGCTAAAACCTTTCTGGGAGGTATACTCCCTCAATGTACTTTCTCTGTCTTCAGCCTAACCTTACAATTCCTTTCAAGAATGAGAATAGGTTGTTGCATTAGCCTCAAGGTCTGTAGGCTCCCGACAGCTTGGCTGAGGCCAAACACAGCTTTGTACAACCTCTCTTTCTTCCCTGTGTCCCAGCCTGGGGAAGAGCTCTTCCCAAAGGACGAACACGGAGAACTCATTTTCGACACAGTGGATCTCTGTGCCACGTGGGAGGTGAGTACGGCTCTGAATAGCTACGTTTCTGACGTTGGGGGAGAGAGGCTGGACTGGGGATTCAGGAAACGTGGACCTCGTCCAATTCCGCCCCCAGGTAGACTTGGGTGAGTCCCCGGATGTCCTTCTGCCTCCGTTTCACATCTCCCGCATTTCATAGTTCAGCAAGTGCTTACCGAGTGCCTGTGGTGTACTCAGTACTGAGTGTGTTTAAGTGCTCAGGCCGCACTGGTGAACAAACCAAGGTTTCCAGCCCCACGGACTGGCAGGTGCTACGGCAGCGTGGGGGGATGTATGAGAAAATAAAGCTGATGAGGGAGCTGAGAACGCCAGGGCAGGCCTGGCACACAGAGGGACAACAAAAGCAGAGTGGGCAGGGCAGGCCTCGCTGACAAGGTAACACCGGGCAAAGCTTTGCAAGAAGCGAGGGAACCGACTGTGTAGTATCCGGAGGAAGAGCGATACGGGCGTAAAGAAGGCCGAGGCCAAGTTTTTAAGGCGGGAGAGAACCTGTCATGTTCAAGAACAGCAACGAGGCACGTGTGACGGGAACAGAGGGAACTTGGTGACCCTCATGGGAAAGGGGGTCGAAGAGAAAACAGGGAGCCACAGTCGGGGGGACAGTCTGGCCCCTTCCTGCCTCCCATGCTGCACAGGCTCCACTTCCTGTGCGCCTGGCCCTCGCTGTGACTTTGCTCGAGTTTTTCTAGGTGTCGGGCCAAAAACCGCACCGGCTCCTTGAGCTGGGTCCTGCACCCCTTGCCTTCTTATCTTACTCCGTCTTCTTGCCCTTTTTCTCCTATTATTTTATTTTTCATTCTCCTCCTACCCGGTTAATCCCTGTCTCGTTTGTTGACACCCGCAGCTTTCAAGGCTTCCTCTGTCCTGTGTCATATTCTCTCCCATCCCGAGCCCCCTCTCTCGGCACCATCCCTGTTTCCGTGCTTCCCCAGCCAGCTGCAGGGATCACTCCTCACAGCCCCTTCCTCCCCAGGCCATGGAGAAGTGTAAGCATTCAGGGCTGGCCAAGTCCATCGGGGTGTCCAACTTCAACCGCAAGCAGCTGGAGAGGATCCTGGACAAGCCCGGCCTCAAGTACAAGCCCGTGTGCAACCAGGTGAGCCCCGTGGACCCGCCCCTCCCCCCCCAACTCTACCCCCTCCTCTTGTGTCATTTCAACGAGGTCACCAGCGGCACTGCCCTCTCCTGAAGAGAACAGAGTTGCATTGCAAGTTGTTGAAGACAGTCCCCAAGGCCAAGTCACTTTGTAAAAAAACACCCGAGGCTCAGGTTGGAGTATAATCTCCTAGGTGTGTAATGGGGGTGGGTCCTAGAAATGTGCAGCTAACAAAGTCTGGATCTTTCTCATCTCTGGTCAATAAAGTTGGAGCCCTCCTGTGGAAAAGAAAACAGGTAATTCTTTTGAGTTCTGTGTCATGAGATAACCACTGAGCCCTGATGGTACAAAATCAGCCCCCGACAATGTGAATACATTCACAACATTGAACTTAGAAATGCTCAAAATAGTAAATTTATTTAAAAAATGATAAATTTGGGGCGCCTGGGTGGCTCAGTCGGTTAAGCGTCCGACT